CTAGTGGTCAGCAGTGAACGGTTGGCAAGAAGGTTGACATTTTAAACCTTGATTAAAAATTGATACAGGGCTTTAGAATATCGATACAGTATCAGGAAATGAAATATCACGATATTTCAGTGTATCGATATTTTCTTACACCCCTAGTTTTAATCAGCAGTTTGCTTCTTTCAGTTTTATCAGCTTACGTACAGCTTCTTCAGTGAACTTCAGCGGTCTTTCAGCTCCCAGCATTCAAAGCTGTATTTTGGCAGAAAATGCAGTTTCTCCAGTTATTAACTGCATTTCTCACCACAGACGAACCAACCAAGTTCATTCATTCAAACAGCTGAAATCGTTGCAGCTCTGAGAGTGACAACAGCCGAACAGAACCGATGGCATGCTGAGAACTGGGCTGTTATTTTTACTCTCCTACCCCCTGGGTTAGTATTAAATCATTATTTAAGCAGGATATTATTTCCTCAGAGAGCGAGTGTCAGCATGGAAAAAATAATGAAATTCTTGACTGATCTTTTCCTGTCTACAAGCATTTTACTGAAGAAACATTCTGATTTAGTAAAAATCTGCCTTTTGAAATGTTTTGCCTGTATTTTGTGGGGGAAACTGAGGCGGTTTCTGAAATGGAACGAGTCTAGACAGGAGAAATATGGCCTGTGTCCCATTAACAAAATAAAAGCTGCAGAGTTTGAGTCAGTTCACTGCARATGAAGCAAACTCAAATTCTTTTCCAATTACTGAACAAGGAGACAGTATCTGGAAGTTTTGTAGGGGAAAGGAATTCAGACATATTCAGACTGACAAAAGCCAAACACAGAGCCTGCTTTTGTTTTCAGGACCTCCAGGAGTCGATGCTGTTAAACACAGTTTCACATTAATCTGTCAGGTATCCGGTGCCGGGACAATAACAGAGAAAAGGACAAAGATCACTCTCAGAAAGAGTCGACAGGGTGTGTCTTTAGCTGCGTGACACACAGCGGATTTTAATGTCCACCATTACAGGACTAATTTCTAAAAATAAAAAAAAAGTGGACATAGAAAACTGATAACACGGTAAATGTTTGAAAATTTTCTTTACCAACAAAAACCCTAAAACATAAACAAAAGCAAAAACAGTAATAGCTAAAAGCATCATACATAAATGTCCCTTTGTTGTTTTCTTGAATAAAAAAAACTACTTACAGTTAAAAAATATGCCTAAATAAATCAGTTTTTGTGTTTAGATTCATTTTTAAGAATATTAATATTTAGTTATATTTTACATGCAGTTCTGGTTTATCTTTATATTTTAAATTGTCTATTAATGCTGTTGCACATTGCTTATTTATAAAATCCATACCATGATCACATTTTCTTGTGAAACAAATATTCAAATCCATTCCCACATGTAATTATTTTGAAACTGCTTGACTGAAGTTAGTCTCTAAATATTTAAATCATAAATTTGAGGGGTTGTGATCAATAAATATTTAAAGTAAAACACCTTCAAAAAGTCACTGATGCTGTTTTTGTGGTTGATTTTAAACTTTTATTTTGAAAACATGAGTATTTTAATCAGTGTATTTGTAAATAATGGCTTAATGTGGGTTTTTAATTTTTAGAATCAGCTACAGATTCTGAAATACGTGCAAAAATAAAACATAATCTTAATTTGTCCTAAAATCTAATCAAGTTTAAGGTTTGATCTAAGTGTACTTCACGTACTTCGTGTAAATTTGAGCTTCGGCGCCTGAACGCGACATTTAATCACTGAAATTCCATTTTTTTAACAGGTGAGCGCTTACCTCAGGTGCGTTTATATTAAACGCGTCTGCTATCTTGGAGTACAGCTCTTTTACGTTGGTAAATCCCTCAATCCTGCCGGTCGGACTCCCATGGGCCAGCTGCGTGTGAAAGACCAGTTTGGGCCGGAGGTTGGCAGGTGGAGGCGGGAGCCCCGCTCCTCCGTTCACGGCGGATTTACCCGAGCTTCCGACACCTGCGTGTCCGCCGCTCACCTCCTCGTTTTCGACCAAGTGCTCCTTCGTGGATTTGTTTTTCTTCTTCCACGGTCCGTACGGCATGTTGTATTACTTATAGATTTAATTTTAAAATAAATAAAAGTATAAAAAAAACCTAGTCCGCGGCAGTGAAGTGACCTGTTGAGTGTCGTCCTTATTTACTTCCTTCTTTTCCTGGGTGTCTTCCTTTTCTTCCGCCAACTATTTTTCCTGTCCTCACCTGCGCACAGACGAGCGTTTTGAAATTTCCGTCCGCGACCTGAGTTTATTAAATCTTCCAACAGGTGGTGAGGGGGGCGAGTACGAACACCCTGACACGACCTGCCACAGTCCTGGACCAACAATAGCTCCTCTGTGTGTATTCCGCGGCGTGTTGCGGCGCGCATGCGCAGTGGGACAGTCCCGGGATCCCCAATGCACCTGTACACCACCTCAGGTTGAACACCACCTTAAAACTATTAAGGTCAAATCTGGGGAAAAACGTAATCGCCAAACGTCTCTCTAAGAATATGTCTTGTGAAGACTCTCAGCTACTACCACACGCAGTTTTAGCGGAATAACTGTAAAATTTATTTAATTATAGCCATATATGTTTTGGCTAAAGTCAATTAGCTGTGGTGGCCATCTTGAATTGGAGTGACTCAGTTGCAAAAGTACAACCATACTTCCTGAAAGTTTCACTAAGATCCATCCAGTGGGTCAAGATAAATTTTGCTAACAGACAAATAGGATAGATGTCAGCCGTTGATGCTTAAGTTTTCAAGAATGTTAGGAAGTCACACTAACTCTCAGCTACCACTACTTTAAATTTTAACACATCTATAGAATTTATTGAATTATAGCCATTTTCGTGTTTTCTGTAATTAGTCAGCTCTAGCAGCCATTTTGAATTTGATTGGCTTCAAACGTTATTCATTTGTAGTTGTTTGTCCAATAATTATTTCCTGCGAGTTTCATTAAAATTTGTCCATTGGTTCATGAGTTATTTTGCCAACAGACATAATTTTTTTTGCTCATTGTCAATCACAGTAGGATACGTGTTATTTTCTCATTTAAAATCATTTTCATTTTCACACTTATTCTGACTTTATAAAAGGAGGATTACCAGCTGAAAACGTCCCACGCAGAGTAGGTGTGTTTACACTCCTCTGTCTCAGCGTGGTGGTGACTCAGCATTTGAACAAATCTTTAACACATGCTGATACTCAAAGTACCGCAGGGAGATACTATTAAATAACTATAACACTGTATTTAGTTAATATTTTTTTATTTTTATCATTGCACATCAAAAAATGTAACTGCATAAGATCTACAACAGCTAAATGTTCACATTTTAACTTTCAAAATATATATTTATCTAATTTCCTGGGCTTTAAAGTGCCTTTTGTTGCAATGTTGCTACTCAACAAAAATCCTAACCTATATAAGCAATTGTATTAAACGATCATAAATTAGAAGCCCTCTCATCTTCATAACTGCTTCAGTTTGCTTCATGTGAAAATATAGATTTTTTTTTATTCAAGTTCTCACGTAAAAGTTTAAAATGCACATTGAACTAGTCGAGTCCATTCGGCCTGTTTTCTTAATTAGCGTAACACAAAAACAGCCACACCTGCTAAATTAACCATCGCAGCTCAAAAAGTGTCCCATCAGATAACGACGAAAAATAAAATGTTTGGTTTGGTACAAAAGTTTTTGTTTTTGTTTCCCCAAGATCACCAGGAATTCTTGGCACCTCTTTTCGAGCCGACAAAATGTTTCTGTTTCAAAAGGCCCGCTTAGTTTCACGTAACAGTCTGACCACAAGCAGTTCTCCGCTTGTTTCAGCTCGGCAGCATGCATCATATTTAGAAAAAAAAAAAACAACTAACAACTAAAATTAGAAATTGCACATTCATCAGTTGTGGGTCCATCTGTGCGCCGTCGGAACCGTTCGTGTAAAAGTGTCTCTCGTGTCCTCGCATCCCTTCGCCGTCTCCTCAGTCAGTTCTTTTTTCTTTCTCTTGGCGTTCTTTGTTTTACGTAGGTAAGTGCCGCTTCAGCACGTCCTTGGCGTTCCCGGGCAACGCGTCGGGAAAGTTCACGTCAAACTCCACCACCAGGTCTCCTCTCTGGTCGGGGTTTTTGGGCAGCGGGAGACCCTGTCCGGCTACGATTTTCCTCATGCCCGGCTTGATGACGTCCGTGATCTTCATGTTGGACGTCTTCCCGTCTATGGAGGACACGGTGACCGAGCACCCGCACAGGGACTGCAGAGACGGAGGGGGTGGGGGGGATAAGGTTTGTGAGTGAGGAACAGCAGGAGAGCAGCATGACTCACTAYAGACAAGAATAAGATTGAAAAAAAGGCACAGGCTGAGCTGAGAGCAGAGATAAATAAACCTYGGTGCACGCAGCAGATGTGAGCTTTCGGGAACAGCATCACTTCTGGTTTCTCTGCATTTCCATCAGGACTGAGCAACAGGTCACTTCCCTCTGACCAACCAATGAGCGTGTCTAATAACATTTTATTTTTAAACGTAAATAAAACAACTCAAAGCATCTCTTAGATTAATTTTAGAAAATTACAACAATGTAAAGTGTCTCAGTGGCACTGAATTGGTTGTAATGACAAAGTTTGCCACTAGATGGCGCATCGTGCTGAGAATTTTTGTGTGGATTCAATACCAAGTAAATACAAGGCTAATATCACTGATTCCATACTTGTAATGTTCATTGAATAACTGTTATTTTCCCTTTAGTTATTCAATTATGATAATACAACAGGACAAAGATTTTGGGCAAAAAAACGTGTTTTGTATTAACTAACTGCAAAAAAAAAAAAAAAAAAAAGATTTAACAGTATGTAAATACAACAAATTAATTCCCCTATTACCCTCCACTACACACAAATGTTTAAAAAAAGTCACTTTGCAAAATAAAAAAGAGAAGCAAATATGTAAAAGAAAGCTAAATATAACAATGTTAATAACACATAAAAAATAACCCTTTCATGCTGAAAAAGAGGACTAATGAAATTAACAATTTGGAGACTACTCTGGACTCAAGACTTTATTTTTCCCTTTATTTGTGAAAAAATAGCTTAAATAGTGCAAATTAAGTGTAAACAAAGAATCTATCTCATCACTCTGGTTTCAATCCAACACGATACTCATTTGCTTCTGATGCGCCGCTACAAGAAGTTGCACAAAGCTAAATATGAGAAGTTTACTGAAGTCACAAAAACAGTGACTTTTTACCAGAACAACAACCAGGCAGGAGTCTGCTGCACTCACGTTGTTATCATTGCACTTCAGCTCACTAAAGTAAGTGTTTATTATTTGTTAGCTTCAATTTGCATTCATAATAGTTAAACAAGAGCACAACTGTTATACATGCATTTGAGTATGAAATACTGCACTCTATGTTGTTTTGTATATTTATACGTAAACATTTTTAAAATGACAGTTTTATTACTCTTGGGTAAGTGTGCAGCGCTACGTTTGTGTTCCCCTTCCATCATTTAAGTCCCTGATCTACAGCATCATGTGCGTCTGATCAGCTGTTCTTTGCGTACATGTAGTAAATGAAGTTTTACGAGGYGAGGCGGCGAGTTCAGTCGCAGGGAGCCGAGGGAAGTGGGAGGAACCGTGCAAGCACTTTTCACACGGTGTGCACGTGTGGGCGATCGCYGGCTCGCTGCTGAAACCGCTCCTGCTCTTCGATGTCGTTGATCCAGGTTACATAAGTGAGCAGCTGAAGTGTGAGTGTGAGTGTGAGTGTGTGTGGGTTTGTTTCTGGTGACATTTGGGGGCAATTTTGAGACAAAATGCCTACATTTGGGGACAACTGGTGCATTTGGGGGCAAAAGTCGAGTCCCCATTTGGTTTAAATGCCATTGGTGGGTTARGGTTTGGGTTTAGGACCAAGGAGTGAATTGAGTTTAGGTTAGTTTTAGGGTCAGGTACCTGTGAGGTTAGCCTTAGGGATTGTGGTCAGGGTTAGGATATAAAATTTCAAAAATATGAATGGAAGTCAATGGAAAGTCCCCACAAGGATAGAGACATAGTATGTGTGTGTGTGTGTGTGTGTGTGTGTGTGTGGGGAGGCTCGGTACGATGCTCATTCAGCATCGCTGTACTTTTTATGCTGGAGACCTCCTACAGTTTATTGATTGAGACTTGGTTTCTCAGCCTTTCAAAGCAGCTCTCTCATCTGAGGTCCAACGAGTTTGCGTGACTAATCCCTCCATCGGCTTCTATTTTTAGCGCAACGACGGGTGAAAGTTCCAAAATAGAAGCGATCTCACCTGTCTCAGGCTCACGCGAACAGGATACACGATGTTGGAGCCTTCCCTTCTGAAGTGAGGGTGGGGCTTGTCCTTGATGACGAAGACGATGTCGGCAGGAATGGCGTTGGGCGACTCGTCTCCCTCCCGGGGAAACGTGATCTTGGTTCCCTCCTTCCAGCCCCGCTTGATCTCGATGGTGAGGATCTTGTCCTCGGCCCGCATGGTCCGGCCGTCCGGGTTCAGCCTCTTGCGGGAGATCTTCATCTTCTTGGTGCAGCCCTGGAAGACCTCCTCCAGGGAGAGCCTCAGCTCGTGGACGATGGGCGGGTCCTGCTTGCGGCGCTGCTGGCCGGCGTGGCCGTCCCGCGGGAAGCCGTTCAGGTTGAAGTTGGTGAACGAGCCGAAGGGGTCGTTCCCGTCCACCTCCATGTCCTCGTCGTCCCGGCCGTTCGCTTTGCGGCCGAAGAACATCTCGAAGGGATTGGAACCCCCGAAGAAGGTGGCGAAGGTGGCGTGCGGATCGCCGTGRAAGGTGTAGGTGTAGGCGGAGCCCTGACCGTCGGGGGCGGGTCCATTTCCTCCTTTAAGACCTGAAGGGAGAAAACAAATTCTGTATAAAACAGCGATCCTGAAATTAAAGCCTCATCACCCGCCGTCCTGCCTGCCAAAGCTTTGAACAAAGATCTCCGCTAACGTGTTAGCACTGGGACTATGTGCTTAAACAGCTTAATGTAAAAAAAATACAAAAGTTTCAGCCATTTTCTTGTGTTCTGATGTAGATTTGCTGTGGCGGCCATCTTGAATCCAGTTGTCAGACGTTGAGCAGATGTGGACAATTCATGTCTGAGAGTTTCAATAAAATCTGACCTCTAGTTCAAGATGTCCTGCTAATAAATTACATCATTTCCCATCGTCATAAATACTGCAGATGTCTAAACTTTATTGAAATATTTGGGTTTTTAATTAGTAAAAAAAAAATTTGTTTCCTAATAACAAAAAACATCGACTGTTTCAGGTTATTGTTGCTACTGTATAAAATTAATTTTTAGAGATGTGACGTTCGCGAACGATACGAATCTTTTGAACGGCTATTTACAACGAACGACAGGAGCCGAGTCGTGGGCAGTAATGAGAGATTTATAGTTTTATTTCTTTTATTCCTCATATAATCTTTTTTTTAATCCTTAAATCGCTCCCACTTTGGTTTTTCACGGAAAACATGCAGAGCTGTGGAGTACAGAAGCTCAAGGGGAAAGTGGGGTTTCTGCTCGACACAACCTATGGTTCCACCCACGTTGTGCGATGATGTCATCACATACGACGACGTAATGACGTATTTCCCTACGTGATGACGTAACTCGTTCAAAATCGAACGGCTCTTTTGAACGGCTCCCCAAGATCCGAATCCTTTTAAAAAGCCATTTGTCCCATCTCTATTCATTTTGGCTCAAATTCATTAAAGTAGAAGCTTAATTTGCAACCTGACAGCAACTTATGTGGAAAAAATTTAGCTAATGTGTTTCGAAATTGGTGTGAAGAAATTAAAACCCAATTTAAGTGCAGTTTTGTTGAATTTGCGATTTCTGTTTTGGTTAAAAAAGCATATCTAGATGCTACAAACCCACAGAAGGCTGCTAATTTTTCAGAGACCCCGTCCAATTTCCACCAACAGTATGAGGCCCAGTCCTCCATCTGTCCGCTTGGTTGGAGGTTCAGACGTTCTCAAACAGCCTCTCTGTTTCTCTGAAGGAAAAGTCCGATTGATTCAACTGAAAATGAGGAAAAGAAGCGTCGTACTCTCCTCACCAGAACATAAAACAAAGGCACAGAGCCTGAAAGGAACGGTGTGTGAGAGTGACCCTGAGCATTTATTACTCTGTCTGCTCTGGACCACTAAAACAATAAAGCCTGATGGGTTTCAGGAACACTATTATAATTGAAAACATGGATTTTAGTTGCATTTCTCCTTTTATTCTGACCAACAGTCGCAGCTGAAGATGCTCCCGACATGAAAACGAAATGTGCTGAGTCACGGCATGAGCACCTCATCCAGTATCACAGTGTCATCACCCCGTTTTGTGAGATACTCGCACAAAGACCGGAAGTAAAGTAGGATGTTGGAGGGCTTTTACATGTCTGTTGAAGCAAAATAAATGAGTTTTTTTAATTTATTTTTTTGGTGACTTTTTGCACTTTTATTCACCAATTTCTTCGTGCTGTTTCACGCATTTCGAACGGTTTGTTTGAAATCATTTAAAAGCACATTGTGCCTTGTGTTTAAACAGATGTTAATGTTCTAAAGAACCAACAGCTGCATCCTGCTTCTTAACTGCACAGGAGTAAATAATTTCATTTCTTGGCTCATCAGTCCTCCTGAAGGAGGAGTGTGCACCTCAACCGTCTGTTCATTTAAAGCCACAAACACTAAAAACCCAAGCGGATTTAGGAAACATGAGATACGTAACACGTTGTTAAACCAACAGGTCAGATATTTTGATGCTGGACTCTATGGAAAGCTTATGAACAGGTAATATCTTACCTGTTGTAGGTAGATGTTTGAAAGACTCAATTTTATTATTTGCACAGATAAATCAGTTAGTCTGCACAGAAACATTGTGTAGTTTGTTTACAAGATGTCTGATTGGATGGACGGATGTAGATGGATGGATGGATGGATGGATGTAGATAGATAGATAGATAGATAGATAGATAGATAGATAGATAGATAGATAGATAGATAGATAGATAGATAGATAGATAGATAGATAGATAGA